GTACTCTATTGAAATTTGCTGTCTCCTCTGCCATGCCAGTCTGAGTTTTAGCCCAGCTTTCCCACGACCTAGAACACCTCATGGGAGCTAGCCCATCTTTGTCTGTTTGACCACAAGAAATGTGCACAAGCCCAGCAACAATTCATGAATCCAAAGGAAGGCCCAGTGAGTGCCCTACTCATGGAATTTCACTTCATCTTTAAGCCTTTATCCCTCAGCACTCATAGAAGGTTTTAAAAACGTTATACTGGAAAGAAGCTTGGATCTGATGTATTAAGGTCTCTGGTGAATTTGCTTTTCCTCAGATCCTTTAGTTACAGAGAATAAGTGCCATGTTTGCAGTTTTAATTTTGGATGGCCAATGGCAGGATTGTTAAAAAAATATTTCTAACACATATATTTGCACAATGAAACATCTAATTCAGCCAAAAGAAGCAGGGAAGCCACTCCTTTGTACAGCTTTGTACTTTTTTCTTTTTTCGTGTTGAAGTGACAAAACACATAATAAGTTACATCTGACTTGGTGAAACTTTGCATGTACAAGAGTTGGCTGGGAAATGCACTTTATCTGAACTTTGTGGCCAATGGCCAAGCTAAATAAACCAAATTAATATTAATTTCCCTTACCCCTTCCCTACCTTCCCTGGTAAATAGAACCACCTCTGGGATTTCTAATGGTAAGTTACCCTTGCAGCATCTGGTTTTACTTGGCTACTATATTGACAAGACTTTTTTTCCACTTTGAGTCTATTTTCTCATTTTTTGTAAACTTAGAAAACTTCAGAATCTTTTCTGCATCCCTGTAACTTTACTTTTGTAAGAAATTTTGGTCTCTTTCAGTTCATGCCTAGGCTTGAGCTAATCTAGCTTGGGAGATGTGACTTAAACCATAAATATTATTATTTTTAAGAGCCTTGAGGTGGTGTCTGATGTGAATGGGTATGAATATATTCAGCAAATATATCTGTGTTCTAAAGTAGAAAGAATAATTTATTACCCATACAACACAAAAAATTAAGCCGTGCTCAGCCATGTCTCAGCATTAGCTCTGTTACCTTCCAAGAGGGTTCTTAAAAAAGAGAATTCTAACTTTAGGGTGTCTTATGAAAACATGTTTTATAGGATGAGTACTATGAAGATGAGCTGGAGTTTGTATTTATTATATTCTGTGCAAAGTTTGTTACCAAGATAGTTGAGAAAAAAATCACAGATGTGAACTCCCAGGGTTATTCCCCTGTTTTTCTTATAGAAATTTTGTACCCTGAGACTCCAGACTCTATTGTCTCTGTGCAACAGGTACTGGACCTGGCTTGCCTGATTTGGAAAGCAGCTTATGAATTAGCAAACATGTTTTCAGGATGGAGCATTTTAGTGATTCTTCAGGTCTGGCTGAGGTTGGGAGCGATGGGGCTTCCAGTGCCAATGACATCCACTTTGCCAAAGTTGTTCAGTATGTTGCCACAGCTGGGGCCAAGCTACAATGTGAAAGAGAATATTGTTGATGTTAATGCAAGATGTTAATGAAACACTCTTGATATTAATGAAAGAAAAGGAAGATGAAGGGGCAAAGCTGATGAAAGAGGAGAGAAGAGAAACTCATTCAGAAACTTCAGAACCTTGTTGATTTGTGTCACCTGGGGAGCCAAGACATACAGACACACTGTGGCAGGCATGTACCAGCACAGTGATGTGCTCTGAATAAACTTAGTTCCCATTGGGACACAGGAATGATTGCAAGGTCCCACTGAAGCCTGCCTTGTCTGGTGGTCTGCCTCTGAGCATGGCCAAGAGCCACGTGTGAGGACAGGGCAGACACAGCATGGTCCTTTGGAGAGCTCTGCCAGTCTGCATAGACCCCTGTCTGCAGACAAGATAAAACTTTTGTTTTCCCTTGTAGCTGCTTTTTCTAGACTGTTAGTTTGTGGAAATGGCATATACCACACTGTGTCTGATCAGAGTTCTCTTCTTAAGCGGAGACACTGGTGACTTTGTTTAGCTTTGCTGTAAGTGGTTGAAATAACAAACCCAGCGAAGCCACAAACCCACTTCATGTGCCAGAGCCCTGTGGTAACATGACTGCAGAGCTTTAAAAATGCAACACAGAAAATGGAAAGCTTCTGCCACATAGAGAGCACTCTGTTAAGCCATTGACTGCTTTGGATTGAGTTAGAGATACATTTCATGCATAAAAGGGAGAACTAGATTGCTATAGAGGATGCCTACATTTTCCATGGATGGAATTTATACTGTATCTAATAGCTGTGAAATGAAACCCTTTTGCAAACCACCCTGTCCAAACACTGAAGGGCTTTTTTTTTTTTTTTTTTTTTTTTTTACCAAAGGACAGAGCATCTGCAGAAGCTGTCAAGAATTGATATACTTTTGCCTCAAGTCAAAGAGTAATGTATTGACTCTCAATGTGATTAGGATGGACTTTTGCCCAGAACAGGAAAATTGGTTCTGAATGAAAATTGCTTTTCAGAAGTAGCTCTTTCTTAATGATACTATTATTATTTTATTTTAATGTAATTAGGGTTATGTTCTTAGATCATAATTGTCATTGTTATACTTCCCTTAAGTCAGCATAGCATTACATTTAGTAGTCTTAGTAATGAAGCAAAAGGGCTGTGAATTTCACCCGCCATGGATAGAGCCTTCTGTTTCTACATAATTTGGTTGTGTTTAGAAGAGAAATTGTCCTTGAGGTGCCTCAGAAAGGTAGTGTCTTGATCATAATAATTACCTGAGACTGAAAAACCATCTGGTTGAAATCAGGTCTTTTTACATGCTTTATGTACTGTCTTTAAAACATAGTATTCCTTAACTCCCCTGAAAAATTAGAACAACTGACCTACTTAAGAATTTTTCTAGTCATATTATTTAACAAATTGTTTTTTAATAGCTGCATTGGGCAATTTGAGTTGAGCCTGTGGTGACCATTTTCCTGCAGCATTGGGATGTTGGATAATGAATCTCTCTGTTCCAAGGACCTTGGGAGCTGGGGAAGTGTTCACTAGACAGGCCCAGAGGGTACACTCCTAGGTGTATTTTAATGTCTTGAAGGCGAGCAGCATAGCAGGATGCTGTGGAAAAGCTAACCTTCCTGTCTTGAGAAATAAGGATGCCATAAGTGATAAAAGAAACCCCCCTCTGTGTTCCCTCTCTCTCTCTAGTAATATAGTAATGCTGCAAGAAACAGCCTAGCCTTCAATTTAGTTTGTCACTCATGCATTTTTTACCCATGACATCACCCTGAAGTGATTAGGAAATTATATCCAGGATGTGAACTCAAGCAGAAGCTTATGGACTTTTCACTGTGTCACAAGGAACAAGAAATGAGGTAGCTCCTGTGGTTTTTCAACAGGTCTCCCAGTGGGTATTTGTGTCCCATGCTCCACTCGGGCTAATCATCTTTCAAGTCACTCCACATCAGATCAAGTGGAAAGGAGACCCCAGCCAGTGTGTGAGGGTCAGTCTGGCTGGGGAAGCAAGCAAAGGGATAACATGTTTGAGTGACAAAATCAGTGAGCAAAGATCAGTGATGAGCTGACCTGCAGTAAAATCAACTTTGCAACCTGCAGTAAAATATGCCCATTAACTTTGTCCCAAAGTAAAAGAAAATCAAAAGCCATTTTGATTTCTCCAGAGGAAGAAGATACAGAAAAAAATCTGAATTCTCACACTTTTCTGCTGTGATAACATCTGTACCTCCTACAATGTGTTTAGAGATAGTGTGACTCTGTCAGCAGCAGATGATGTCAGCTGCTTTGAGAAATGCCTGGTCAAGTTTCTATCATAACTCACTGCCTTGTAAATATGTTTAGTTTCTGTTTTAGCAGGGACTGTCTTCTAGCAGAAATACAGAGATTTGTGCATTTATCCTTCATAGAAATCATAATGCTTCTGGAGCTTACAGACAAGCATTACAAATACCTCCCTCCAAGCCTCACTCTCAGTGAAGTTCATTGTCATCTGGCAGCAGAAGACATCAATCACTACTCAGAAGCACAGGCTAATGTTTCTAAGCCAGGCAGGGCTTGTATCTGCTTCCCAAATAGCTTACCCTATCAGTTCTTTTTATTGAGATTGATTCCCCATATTTTGCTAGTTTGAGGATATAGTCCATTTATATTTATCCTGTACTGTAAAGCTAATAATCGACATTGTTACTGTAGTTATTTTATGAGCCAATTTCTTTGTACCCAAGGGTGTTTTTATTACTCCCCTTTTGGCCTTTCCTTCAGAGCAGTGAAAGCATACAGTGAAGAGGGAAGAAGTGTTGTACAGACTTAGTAACAAAATTAGTTGGTTGATTATCATAATTTCTTTGTATCACACTCCTGTTTTCTGTTTCTCAAGTTCTGCCTAGAAAACTAACCATCCCTGCAAGTCAGAGGCAGCTTCAGTTTAATTTCACATTCTCCATAACCCCTGTGTGAAATAAAGAATAGCTAAGATACTGTGTCCCACTGATATTTGGTAACAGGGACATTGAAAAGAATATTATGAGGGTGCAAGGTTGGCCTCTGCAGCCACTCTCATCCTGCTAAGAAAATTTCCTATGGTACAAATATTTCCCCAAGAAAAGTTACTTCTGGTGGAGTTGAGCAAATATGGCAATGGAGAACTGGATGGGGACAGACTAGAAGAAACTCTATTTCTTACTTTCTGCATTCAATTTAGCATCCCTTTATGTACACAAAATATGATATCTGAAGTGTTGAGTTAATAATAAGCTATCAGAGAAGCTAATGGCTTTTCTGTCAGTCTGAATCTTGCACAGATACATATGAGCATTTGTACCTTCAACTTGTTATGGAAGATGACATATTTACAGAAGGAAATTTTCATCCAGAAAATTAGGAACCGAACATGAGGCAAAATGGCATAACGTTGGTGTCTCATTTCATTTTTGACAGTGAGTCTGTAGGCTGATGACATCCATATTGCTAGGATTACTCTGAAGTTGTCTTTAAACACATGATCCAGTGGAGACTGACAAATACCTTCATTATTGCCAATTAGTGCAGAATAGTATGAAAGATGAGCCAATTGCCTGGGCCTGGGGGCTCCACAAACAAGTGAATTGATGGTGTCAGTCAGAAGAAATTCCAGATTTCAGAGCCAGGAGGGGCCACTAGATCACAGAGTCTGACTTCTTGAATAACACAGCCATTACTTTTACTCTGTTACTTGTATCTTCATAATATCTCCCTTCTCACAGATGGATGATTAGGCAAGATAATGGGAAAACAAAGGGAAGCAGATCTGTCTCCAAAGATACAAAACAGCTACAGCGTTGGTACCCTGACACAGGAGAACAATGACATTTGCTGATGCCCTTCTATCAACCTCACAGCCTGGTGGAGCAGCCCAGATGGTAAGTCTGTCTAGGTCTCTTTAATTCTCAAACAACACTGTCAGTTTGAGGTGAAAATATCCCCTCTGAATAGTATTGAAACCTTGTCAGTGTGGAAGTGTTGATATCTCTGTCAGAGTTGGCATTTTGGAGGCAGCATCCTCTGGGTGTAAAATTTGCCCTAGCCTGGGGACAGGACCTCAGAGAAAGTTCTCTCTGTAGCCTCTGCTAACTTAATGCAACTGTGTATGTACTTGAACAGATTCTTACTGCTATTTCTATAAGAAAACATTATTTCTTGAGAATAATGTTTTTATAGATCCTTATATTGTGTAGTATTTAAGACAAGCAGTAATTGCCACAGATGTCTTGCACAGAACATGTCTTGGTCTCTTGAACCCGTGTGGGTATCTGAGGGGTAGGCAAAGCAATGTCTCAGGGGTGGAGCTGGGAAACCAACCCTCAGCTACATGTTGGGTTCTTAGGGGCTAATCCAAAGTCTGCTGTTCAGCCAAAAGATGAGGCAGACAAGGAGGGAGCCTCATAGCTTTCTGGGGACATTTTGAGTCTACACAGATCAAAGAGGAGCTGCAGGACTTTTGGATCCAACCTTATGTCCACTAGATGAGCTTGATGAGATTGGGCATTTTCTTTTTCATCTCATGATGATCTATTCTGGGAAATTTTGACTCTCTTTCTCTTTCCAGTAAATGATTGTCTTTGATGAGATTTCATCTGGAGTCACTCACCCCTTAGATAAAGACACAAAATCCAACTAAATTAAATTTTAAACATAACCATTTCTTTCCTTAACACATTTGTATTTATCAGTTTATATATTTTCTCAACTAATATTTCCTAGATAAAAATCTAAAACTAGCTTTAATGAGAGCTACAGGGCACTTCTTAATGTGCCAGAAATAAGCATTTTCCTTCTTTCTGGAAAAATATTTTTTTTCCTAATGTGATTTTAAATTATTGAATTTCTTCAGTGGCTTAAATTACTCTGCAATAGACAGTGCATAATATAAATTCTCACCTAAAAGGAGGCTTTCTATTCTCATTCTTATAATCTAAATTATCTTTTTTTTTTTTTTTCTCTCTCTCTCTTTTTTTCCTTTTTCTTTTCAAATATATCAGTAAGAAGAAAGAAATGTCTTAGAGTATCTGAGTCAGACTGTCCTGATGGTAGATGCCTTTATAAAAGACAACACTTCTCACCTGTAGTTCAGGCACAAGCTATAAATCCAAGGTGGTGGAATTACATACTTTCCAGGGGAATCACATTCTTTCCATTAGTATCCTGCTATAAAATCAGTAAGTTTTTCCCCGTAGGTTTTGTTGTGCCTTGGTGTGTGATACAACCAGCTGACCAGAGGACTTTGTGAGCTCGGCTAATTTGTTGAAACACAGACACCCGGGGCCATTTGAAATGCCCTGAGCAAAGTGGGATGTGCCCACAGAGCTGGCAGGTACACACAGGACCTGAGGGAGAGCTGTGACCTTCTTGAGGATAGGTTTGATACCCCAAGGTGTCTTAAATGAAAAAAGTTCCCCCATTGATGCAATGTACTGAAGCTTGCATAAAACCTACAGCCATCCCTGTCCCCTCTCTGGACACTCGGCCGCAGTCCCACAAGGCTACAGAACGCCTTGGAAACGAAGATCATAGCAGCAGAGTTCATCAGCTCCAGCTCACGATGGCGTTTCGAACATCTGGACCCGTAACTGCAAGTGACTAGTGACAAGGAGACAACGGCTAAGCATAATATCAACATTTGGTTAACCGTGTTTGCAAAAGCAAGCAGCCCCCTTCACCCCTTGCCCTCGCTGCTGGAGCAGGAACTCCCCGGCGGAGGCAGCAGCCTGCGTGGAGTGGGGAAATGCCTCCCCACGGGGGATGGGGCGCAGCCTCCCCTGCCCGGCTCCCCGGGGCAGCCGGGGGTCAGCGCGGCCCCCCGGGCTGCCCCGGCCCGGGCGGCTGCGGACACGGCTCGGGAGGCGCCGGGGTCTGCGAGCTCCCCTTCCTGCCCGGACAGTCCCTGCTCGTGTTTCACTGACCGCTGCTGACGGGCACCAAGTGCCCGCGCTGTTTCTGACGGGGATTTATTTTCTCTCCGTGTAGCTGCATGCAGGAAATGTGATGCTTGGATGGAGCTATCCGTGCTATGCTCTCCGAAAGCCGCCAACCCATTTTTAGGGATTAGGGATCATGTCGTTCTTGTAGGAATATATTTCTTTTAATGTCTTCCCAGGAGAAATTTGGTATCCTCTCACTTGTCCTACGCAGGGGAATTTCGCTAAATTTCATTCTAGCCTATCCATGGCCGTGGCAAGAGCAGCCGTCTCAAAAGATGGTGATGCAGGGTAGTGTTGATTTCTCAGTCTGCTAGAGGCTGAACCTTCAAAATCCAGTGCCAGAAGAGATATCCCTGCCTTGGCATCAACTAATCAGGCAGGAGAGGATGCAACCACTACAGGAGGGGATGCTGTGCAGCAATTTAACTGCTACACGTGATGATGGAGCATGCTTGCTCATGCTCTATATGCTGCTTTCTCTTGGATAGAGCACATTTGTCTGTGTATGTGTTTATACAGGTGTACATTTGCTGGATAAATTAGGGGATATGAAGAGAAGATGAACTAGCATATAACAGGAATAACAGGAAAGTATTAAAACTTGCTAATATTATCCTTAACTTTCTTCAGTTACAGTTTACACTTTCACCTTTCCTAGTCAGCCAAATTTCTGTGGTAATTAATGTACTGGAAAAAACATTTGGGTTTGATGTAGCGCTGTGAATTTAGCCTTAATGCATAGTCTTGGCTTATCTAACTACTTGTCTGGGGTCTTGTGAATCTCTGTAGCAGATTGATGCCTCTTCAAAGCCATCTGGAAGAAGATCTACCCACTCTTTTTTCCCCCTGCTCTTTTAATTGGGACTGCTGGCTAGCCCTGTGTGTCAGAGCAGTACAAAGGCTGGGAAAACAGAGAGGTCTTACACTAAGCCATCCGAAAGGGCAGCAGGAGACGTCATCCATTTTGTGTATAGATATGTTTAGATAGATGTGGTAAGCCATGAGAAGTGGGTGCCTTGACAGGTTACTTTTCAAAGGCTGCTGATTTGCAATGACCTCTGACTGCTCCGAAAACAGCTGAATTCTGCAGACTCTGGTAATCTGAGATAGAAACTGTTTTGAAGTCGGCTGGGTGTAAAGAGTCTACTGCTGCCCTGGGTCTCTCAATACCACAAGGAAAAGTAGAGCAGGGAAAAAAAAAGGATTCTATAGCTGGAAACTCCCTTGTCTGATTTTGTGTGGGACAGCTTGCTCTGTTTGCAGAACACCTAGATGAAAATCGTCCACTTTTATACCCAGAAGTTGTCAGACAGTCCCCCCAAAGGCAGACATTGACTCTGAAATGTATGTAAAAATACCTTGTTCCTCACTACATGATGCTTCTCTGTTCTGTGGGAGCCTCATATAAATATATTTCAAATGCACAGCATGTTATATACCATGTTGTAGTCTCAGTTATATAAAATATAGACTGTATAGGCAAAGGTAGGAAAACCATTCTTTTCTCTCACACTATGTTATGGATTAAAATTATCAAGTTAGCATAATTCTTCCCAACCTCTGATGGGGGTCTGATACCTTTCTATCAGACAAGTAGAAATTTGAAGTTCAATGTTTTAGGAAGTTAAAGTATCCAAGTATCTATGCTAATTTTCTTATGGTATCTCTAATTAATCTGATTTAATAAAAGCCTCACATGTATTTTTAATCTTGAAGAATATGGTTCCTAGAGCTGCTGCAGTATTTTTTGATGCTGAATCATTAATGACAGGAGACACCATTGTGGTTTTTAGTGAGTGAGCTTTACTCAGCACTTACAATGACTTTTGTGAGGCTGGCTGATTTTCTTCTTCATTTCTAAACTTTACTTTTTCAAAAAAATTTCAAACCAAAACAAAACAAAGGAAACAAACAAAACAAAAAAAAACAGAAAATTCAAATGTCCTTTTAAGCTCCAGAAATCAGAAAGCAAATGAAAGAAATGGATAATTATTTATAGGGCAGTTTTTATGATTTTAAAATCCATCTCATAAGTTTTATTTTCATAATAGTGCATTCTGCTTGATTTGGATTGGCACTCCCTCAGTATATTAATTTCATATGTTAATAGTTTTACAGAAATGTGCTAAGTGTCTAAAAATACCAGAGAAGATTGCTAATAAAACAACATAAATAGGTCTGAGATGATTAAAGCCCCCATTTGCAAGCAGGAAAATTTCATCTCTGCAATTGTCTCTAGTGTAAAAGGTCTCCCTCCAGTCCCAACACTTTCTGTTCACATGCAGATCCCAAACTGGAATAAGTCAGCACAATCCCATTCACCTTTTCAGCTATTCTGAACTGTGATTCTGGCATATATAATCCACATTTTAAAATATAAATATGTATTTTCTTCTGCCATAAGAGTAATTAGTAGCCATGTTTCCACAATACTTTGATCTTGACTTAAGACAACTGAATTGAATCTAAAATCCTGATTAACATATTGTTAATATTTTGCTCTCTTATTAGTATAGAAATTATATCCGTATAAGATTTTAAACTTAATGGAAAGCTATGTTTAGAAAAAAAATCACATGGGAAATTTTGTTTGGTTTATATGTGTTCACAGTTATTAATTTAGGGTGAAATACTTTTTTCAATGCTTTTTTTTTTTAATACAGATCAAATTTTAGCATTCTGTAAATTTATTGAGAATTTTTAGTTCAAAGATAGGAGTGGATTTACAGTTGAACTGCCAAAATTCTTTATACAAATATGTACATAAATACGCAGGCTCTATCCCAGAAAAAAAATAAAGCAGCTTTATTCATCCTGTTTTTTGCACTAAAATTTAATTTTATAATTGTTAAAAAACAAAATAAATTAATTACTGACCTTTTAAGGGTGATTTCTAAGCATATGGGGATCATCTACATTTTGAAAGCAGTTGTTTTTATGAC